TGCGGGGCTGCCCTGTGGCCTCCCCTCCTGCCCACCTGCCCCCACCACGGGAAGAAAGTGATGGCCAGAGACTGGGGGAGACCTCGTACCTGCCACAGTGTCTTGATTTCCTTTCTCAGAGCCCCTGAGCCAGCAGGGAGCATGGAGGGTTTGGCTAAAGGGAGTGGGGAGGCTTAGGACTTTGCCCCCCTGATCTCTCCCCACATCCTGGGGCTTCTGGATCTCCAATTCCTGCTCACCCCCACTGCCAGTGCAGCTAGGGGTCTCTAGGGATGCTCCTGCCCTTGCCTCCCCCTGGAGTCTCTTGGATCTGTGGAATGCCATATATTTTCGAGGTGAGTAAAAGGTCTAAGATCCACCCACCAGATGAATAACACGAACAAAGGCCCCACTAGAGCCCCCTGCCCCAGGTCCAGCCCCACGGTGTTTTATCCACTCGCATCCGAGAGCCTGTTCAACCCCTCCCTACCCTGCAGCCCCCCTGGGGGCATGCTCTGAGTCACCCTCAGCCCCAGGCTGGAAGAGACTGCCCTGCAGGGAGTAAGCCCGAGGATGGGGACCTACCCATACCCCTGTTGTTCTTGTCCTGCTGTTTGGGCTGGTAAAGCCTCCCTGGATGTGGTTCAGACACATTCCCAGAGACCACAGGCATGGGCCTGAGCTGGCCCTTATGCCCTTGGCAGGGATACAGGTTCATTCTCTCCTGTGTTCCCAAAACCTTACTCTCTCCATCACCTTCTCTCGCAAGCCTCCCTGTCTAGCCTGATTGCAAGGACAAGGTATGTCCTGGCCCCAGGGCAGAGAACTTGTATGAGTAAGGCAACTTCCTCGGGAGAGGAGGAGGTCAATGCCACCAGCCTCTGATGCATATGCAACCATCTCGGGGGGTCTGCCAAAGCCTTTCCCTCCATCTTGGCGCTCAACAGAACATGCCCCATACGGGGGGAAGGAGAGAAGGGAGCAAACACAGGCCAGGCAGACATGGTGCCTGTGTGCACAGCAGGTGTGCGTATGCCTGCAGGGCTGAGTTTTTGTACTTGGTCCGAGCTGGTCCCTTGTTTCATTTATACTCTGTAGCAAAGCTGGTCTGGTCGGTGTCATTATTCCCATTAGGCAGATGAGAAGTTGAGGCTCAGTGAGGACAACCAGCTGGTTGGCAATTGAGTTGGGACCCCAGCAACTCTGGGACTCCTCCAGGGGCATTAGGAGAGGTGGCCCCCAACCCTGCCCAGGTGCAGCAAGGCGTGGACTGCAGGTGCCTGGGGTCAGTCCTGCGGACTAACAACCTGTCATCTCTTCCTTGATTGAACCATAGACAGTCCAGCAGCATCGGAAGTACTATCAAGACAAGACGGGCACGGTGCCTCGAGTCCCCTACTTTGTGCTGCCCGTGAGGGAGCCAGAACACTACCCCCTCCCCACTGTCCTGTGAGTTGTGAGTCCCTGCCCTCCCTTCATCCACGCAGTCAACAAACGCACCCATGGGGCACCTGCTCTCGGCCAGGCATGCACAGCGCACAGACTGAGAAATGAGTTGAGGATCTTGCCCTAAAATGTGCAGTGCAGAGAGTGATGGTTGCGGAGCAAGGGGGTCAGGGCATTGGCAGCCTCAGGGGGGATGCTGGTAGCCTGAATGGGTGAATCACGAAGAGTGCTTTCCTGGCCAGATGCACTGGGAATTTGGGAGAAACTCCGTAAGCTCAGTGGGCCTGAATCTGCGGACTGATGCCCTGCCTGCAAAGGCAGCCTGGCAGCTACACTAGTCCTAACGCGGGCACCCATGCAGAGAGCAGTAAGGAGCTGCTGCCCTCTGGTGGATACAGAGGGCACTACACCGAGCAGGAATCTTCCCCCAGCCCAGTCCACATTTGGAAAATGTGCTCCTAAGGACTTTCTGTCCATCTAACAAAATAGGAAAGTTCCTTGCCTCCTGCCCCTCACTGCTTTTATCTAGGAGAGCTCCTTTCTCCAGGGAAGGCCCACTCTGCCCTGAAAGATGACCTGGGTACTGTGGTTTCTGTGCTCTCTCCTTCCTGAAGCGCAGGCAGGGGTATCACTAACTCACACGAGGTGTCCTGGGGTGGGATAGGGTGGTGGGTGGTACCTGGCCTGCAAGGTCAGTGGATAGAGCTTGGGATTTAGCTCCATACCGACCACCCCCTGCTTGCCTCAGAGTCCTGAGATTCACCATCATCCTTACTGATAAAGCAGCATCTGTTTTCATAAGTTTAATGGTTTTTATAGAAACAGGCTTCACTGCATCCAGAAGTTCTTTTCTGCAAGATAGGATCATTTTACAAAAAAAGGGAACCCGAGGTTCATTTATCACCTGGGGGACTTGTGCTGCATGGCCTGGATGGTTGGAGGCAGAGCTTGGAAAGGAAGCAGCATCTCCCATCACCACCTCTAGGACTCGGGGGGCTCTCTCCAATCTTGGGATGGCTCTGAGCCAGTCCGTCCCTGGAGTAGAGTGGGACTCTCCTATGGACAGGTATCCTCTTGAGACAGCTCTGGCCAGGATCCGCCCCCACCCCCATCACCATGGGGAGAGCGGGACACCTCAACTGTGTTCCTTCTTCAAGTTGCCTGGCCACTTGCACTGCTGCTGACAGTCTCACACTGAATGCAAACGGCCAACCAGGTGGTTGGGAGAAGAGGGTCAGTGATGGGCCTGGGGCAAGCCCCTCCCTCCTGGAATCCCCTCCGTCAGCACCATCATCATTTCTTAGAACATTTGCTGTGTGATTACTCCTTGTCCAGAGCTTTACATGCGTTACTGCATTTATTCCTCAAGTCAACGCTAAGAGGGGCATACCACCACTGAGCCGTTCTTAAATATGCACACTTCTAGCAGGAGTTGGGACCAGAGTCCATCCCAGGTCTGTCTGACATCTGTGCCCTCACTCTTCACCACTGTGCCACTATGTAAATACAGGTTATTCCCACCCCAAGTCCAGGGGGACCTATCAGGTGTTAAGCTGACGAGTAGCCAGCAGGCCAGCTGAAAGTTGGCACATGGGGCTGTGGGTGGGCATGCATCACCCTCTTTCCCTGGCACACTGCATAACATCAGTCCCATCCTCACCCCTAGGCCTCCTCTGTGCCCGAAGAAGAAGTGGCACCTTTTGAGAGTAGCCCCCGAGAGCCTGAAGACCTACCAGACCTTTCCGTCAGGGAAGAGGGTCTCCCCGCAAGAGCGGAAGAGGAGAGACTGCTACTTTGAGTTCAGAGCATGAGACCAGGTTCCTGATGCCTGGGATCCTGGGTGGAGGCCAGCCCGGCTTCCCTGGAATAAAACCTTTAGCCGTGACCATCCTACCCACCTCTCCTCTGGATCCCAGGGACACTCGGCCACAGCAGGAAATGCCCCCTGAAAGTCACACAGCATTGTGTCCTACGGGCCTGCGGAAAGCTCTGTCCCAGGGACTGAAGCCGAGGAAAAGTGGTGTCCGGCTACCTGACAGGTCCAGCTACCTTCTCCCCAAGATGGAGCAAGTTGAACTGAGGAATGTAGGGTTCCCTAGCCTTAGTGGCAGGCCACTCAGGTACAGAGACCTCCCACCTGATTCTACTGGTATAAGCAAGGAAGTCCAGTTACCCCGCTCTAAGAATGAAGGGGAAGTGGCCCCAGAATAATCGTACTGGGTATGATTGGAAAGGAATTTTCATCGGAGCCCTGACTTGGCATCGTTTGGTTCACACGATCACTTGTGAGGGAAGAAGTGTTATTATCCCCACTTTACTGATAAAGACACTGAGGCGCAGAGAGGGTGAGGGTGAGAAAGTTGCCCCAGCTTACACAGTTGGGGAGTAACACAGCCAGAATTTGAACTCAGGTCTTTCTGACTCCCAAGTCCTGGTTTTTCCATGACACAGCCTGCTTGTGGTCCATGTGGAGACTGAGGGGCAGGGAAGACATAAACCTTGGGATCCTGAAGGAGCCTGTGGAGGGTGGGGCCTGGGAGGAGAAGCTGTGCGCAGCAGGCACCCTCTGCATTCTGCCGAGGCTGGCTTGGACGGGTGGATGCGGCATCTACCCCTGAAGCTGTTTCTAGAAGAGGATGGGAGGGAATGACCTAGGACCAGGCCACTCTTCCAGGAATTCCTATGTTTCGGGGCCCCAGGCCAGAAGTGGATGCTGGGCACGGATGCTGAGGCCACATGCCTGGGGTGGTCTTTGAGGTCTGGAGGATCCGCTCCCACCAGGCTGCTGCTTCCTACCTCCCAGGAGGCTCCTGCCTGCTGGGGCAGGGGCAGGACGGGGGTGAGAGCCCCTCAGGGACAGGATCAGAGATGGAGACCTCAGACCAAGGTGGGGACCTTCTCCAACATTCCAGCACCTCTTGGATTTGATCAAGGGCACTCCATTAAATGACAAGGCCCTTATTGTCCTTGAACAGGTGAGTCAGGACCTAATGGCAAGGGGAACACAGCCAGGTTCAAGTACACCTGGGGCTGGAGCAGCCCCTCCTCTGTAGCCAGCGATTAGATTAGACACCTCCCCCAGGATAATGTAAATAAGAAAAACCCAGTGGGGGGCTTCTGTGTCTCCAAGTCCCTGAGAGGCTGGACCCCAAAGGCTCTCTGTGGTGGCCAAATTCATTCCAGGGCTTGGCTGAATAGCAAAGCAAATAAACTGATTGCTGGTCCCACAATCAGGGCCAAGATGCCTTCTCCCTCAGAAGGGGAGTGGGGAGCCGGGCGCCGGCTGGAGTGGCTGCTATGTGCACGTCTCCGTGCAGCTCTGCAGTGCGAGGTGCTGGGGGTCGGGGGTTTTGATGAAGGGAGGGAAGGACCTCTATCTTGCTAGGGACCTTCATCCCATTTGGCTTGGTCCCCTGCTATGACACGGGTTGAGATTTGAACTATTCCCTCAAAAAGATTGCCACCCCAGCCTGCTTGATGACGCTGGCACACGGAAGCCCTGGAATGGGCAGCTCTTAATAAAAAGTACCGTGTATGATCCTGCATTTAAAAAGTGATGATCTGGTGGGCTCAGGAACAGGTTTTTCTTTTCTTTTATCTAATAAACAATATTCTAGAGGGGAGGGTGGGCCCAGGACAAAGTCATACTTCAGACCAGCTCCCTCCACTGCTGGAGGGGGTTCGATGCCAGTGGTCTCCCTCGAGGCTGCCACGTCAGGTATTTGCAGCTACATCAGCATCCCCAGAAGTGAATCCGAAAGGAGCTGAAAGAAAGAGTCCCGTGAGCCACGTGAGCCCGCAGGTCCAAGGGGCCCTCTGACTCCTGGGTTCACAGTAGTCCTGGAGGCTCCCTGGCCTGCATCTCATGTCCCTTTCTCTGGGCGACAGCCACTTTGCAGCTGTCCCAAAGCGACCCCAAACCTTCTCTAAGCTTCTTTCAGCATCACCACAAGGCAAAGGCAGGGCACCAGAAGGAACCTTGTGGTGCTCGCATCAGTGGAAAGAAATGGAAGAGATTCAAAGCGAAACTCCAAGCAGTCAGGGTGCCAGCTTCATTACGTGCTGGGCTGTGACAGAACAAGAGGAGTTACCTTTGGCCGGGGTGGTCCCAAGTGTGCATCCTTTTAGAGAGGGGCCACCCAGGCCACAGGCCCTAGCAGGCCTGTTGGAATGAGGAGCCCCCTCCTCATCCAGGCAGTCAGAAGAGGGGAGGACCCCTGACCATGGCCACTCGGATCCTGTCTCTGGGGATTTGGAGTCAGAGCTGAGAGGTGTTACTTAGGAGTCACTGAAGGTCACTCAAGACCGAGGAGGTATAAACTTGACCACTGCAGGGAGGCCATGCATGGTCTTGTGTCTGACAAAGCAGAGACAGCTGGTGCACAGCACCGAGTGAGCGTGGAAGGCTGATGGGAGGCAGAGACATTGGCACAGAGGGACCTGGCAGCCCCGGGCTCCTGCCCTGGTGCTGGCTGAGTCTAGCTCTTAGTTCTGTTTCCCTTCATCTGTAAAAGCACCTTGAGTGGGCACACGTGAAATCAGCGTGCCTCTGAGACCAGGGGCAGAGTCGGACCCAGGAGCAGGAGACGCCAGCTCCACCCGGCTCGTCCTCCATGGCGCGCACTGCCTCCAGGGGGCATGCATCTCCCAAAAGCGGCAGCACCCCAAAAAGACTTCAACATGGCCAGGGAGATCTGGAGATGGCCAATCTTCTCAAGGACGTTTGGGCCTCAGAAGACCCTTTGGGCCCCTCTTGCTCTAAGAAATAGAATTGGATGCTTCTCTCATTGTTTCTTTTCTTCTATGAGCTCCACCACCAGCATCTTCTGATCCCCCCTGAAACCGCCAACTCCCAGTTGGCTGCTGGAGGCAGTGGGGTCATCAGGAGTCCAGTGGGCCTCAGGAGAAGCACAGAGGTGTGTCGGCTGGCACAGGGAATGCTCTGAGGTTGGAGCTGTGATGTCATTCTCAAAGCCTGGGATCCAATCCTCTCCTCTGCCTTTTAATACCCCAGGGTTACTTAATTTCTCAGAAGCTCCAGTTTTGCTGATTCTGAAAGAATCTGCAAAGTATTCTGGAAACTCAGCCTCCTTGGGAAGACTGAGATGTCCCATGGGGTGAGGAGAGATCGGGGGGCCCTTCATGCCCCCCCCCACTCTTCTGGGCAGTCCCGCCCCCCCCAGAATGCCTTACTTCATGAAATCCGGAGACTTGGCCATCGCATGTTCAAACTCTGAGAAGGACAGCATGTTGTCATTGTCCAGATCTGACTCACTCAGGACCTGGCCAGGGAGCACAGAAGGTGGCTGAGTGGAACCCGGTGTCAGGCAGTGAGGTGGGGCACGGGGTGGAGGGGAACGCCACATACCAGGGGCTCTGCCACATGCTCAACACTTGTCTCCCAGGTCCCCTGACCCCAGTGACCCCACAGAGATTAGGTTACGTGCACCAAAGCTTTGGACCCTACTGGCTGCCACTCACTCCTGGGGCCTCCAGCACCAGCCCAGCAGTGAGAGAACAAGAGTGTCCCCCACCTGCCCCGCCAACCAGTACACACAGGGGCTCTGCACTACAGGGGGCCCAGGCAGGCGGGGAGGTGGTGGTGACTCCCTCAACAGTGCTCATGGTTTTATCTTCCTTCTAGTCCCCATCGAGACTGGAAATGCTGGACACTTGTCATGTTCTGAAAGCCGAGATCCATGCCCTGACTTGAGTTCGCGGGGCCGTCTTCGTGTTTGTCACTCCGGGACACCTGGGCACTGTGTTGTGCTGAGACAGTGTGGGGAGGGGATGTTGAGATGGCTCCCTCTGAGGCTAAGCTGCTGTTGGCCCACCACTGGCAGTCCCTCTCATGTAGGGAGGTCCCTCGAGTGGGTGGGTTGGGCTCAGTGTTCTGGGGACCCTGGACAGGTCTTGGAGGAAGGACAGAAAGTCGAGGGGCAGTTGCCTCCCTCTGTGTGCCCATTCCTCAGGGCACCCTGAGCTGCCTGTCCCCTTGGCAGCCCCCAGGGAATGTGGGCACCAAAGGCCAATGTGTCATCGGACTCAGACTGGCCCTGGATCTCCTCCCAAGAGGGTGGCCTGACATCCGGGGGCTTTGGGTGACAACGCGGCCCCTATCCCCAGCCCCAGCCACCAGCTCCCAGCCCCCAGCACACACGTGGTTCGTGAGGTCCATCAGCAGGTCCTCAGACATGTCATCACTGTTCAGCAGCCGCAGGATGATCCTCTGCAGGTCCTCCTCATCAATGAAGCCATTCTCATTAAAATCTGCAAAGAAGAGGCCAGACCTGCATTAGAGGGAGATGGGCGCTGAATAGGAAGAGGACTTGAGGAGTCCTGGGGGACACAGCACCAGCCAGGACCCCACAGATGCCCACTAGCCTCTGAGAGGCCCCCCAGAGCCCAGCTCTCCCAGGCGAGTCACACATGGGTGCTCAATAACCTGTCAGAAATACCAGTGGTAGTAAGTATTGATCGTGTGTGTGCTACATGCTCAGACCTCTCCTGGGAGCTTGAAGTCATTGAATCTTCACAATCAACCTTTTATTAGTCTTTTACCAAAAAGAAACTGAGGCACAGAGGGTTATATGGTTGCCAGGCAGAGTGGAGTGGAGGGCGGCCTGGATCTGAAGTTGGAAGGCCTGGGTGCCAGTCTCTGCTGCTGTCCAGATGCAGTAGCTGTGTGATCTGGGCATGTGCCCTCACCTCTGCAGTGAAGTGGGGACAGTGGTCCTTGTAGCCTCTCCACAGAGGAGCTAGCCATACTGACCCTGGCTGTGCCTTAAAGTGTTAAGGGGACAAGAGGCAATATTCCCTCCAACCCCGTGCAGCCTCCTTCCTGAAATGGAGTCCAGAAATGGGCAAGAACAGGCACCAGTTCTTCATCCCAGGCAAGCTACAGCTGTCAGAAAAAGGGTAACGGGACAGGGAGCCTGCAGACCATGGCGGGCTCCATACATTTCAAATCCCCTCTAAAATAGCCCAGGAAGCTGCCGTGGCCCTGGTGTGCCCAGAGGGTTCTGGCCGCGGGGAGCCCTGGGGACTCTGGGGTGGGTGACAGTGGGGGTGGCACCAGGACTTCCCGTACTTCTGGGGGCCGCACTGACTCCCGTGTGTGCCGGCTGCTGCTTCCTCAACTGCAGCCACAGCCCAGGGCCCCTGCCTTCCAGGACGGCGCTCGGAAGTGCCCACCGCCCGTCCCACCAGTCGGGGAGTGCTGCCCTGAGCTTGGCCAGGCCTTGGGTCCTCCTTTTAGGGCCATAAAATATGGTCATTACATAAACTTCCTGAGCACTGAACAGCCAGGGTCCACCTGACCCTATTTCCCACAGAGCCACCTTGAGGGGTGTCCTTTATCCCTCAGGGCTGCCTAAATCGGTCTTCTCAACAGGCCTTGGAAGAGCATGACCTGGAGGGACGGCGGGTGGAGGAGGTGCCGGGCCACCAGTGGGCAGAGACCGAGGCACCCTGGGGAGCCAGGGACAGCGGCAGAGATGGAGTCACCCTGGGATGCCAGGCAGGGACAGCGGCAGAGGAGCCACTCTGGGGTGCTTGGCCAGAGTGACTGGCACGGTGTGATGGGAGCAGAGGCTGCGGGGAGGCCTGAGCGGAGAAGTATCAGGGGTTAAGTCTGGAAGGTGGGCGAGTTGTGAAGGCCTTGAATGGCAAGTGAGGCGATGTCCGGCATTCTCAGCACCGCTCTCCCAGAGCTCCCAGCACGATCACCCAAGCCCCTCACTGGGTGGTAAACACAGCTGCCTGAGTGAATTATAATAATCACCACCACAACAAGCACAGATGTTTTTGCTGTGGCCAGGCAGTGGTCTAAGCGCTTTGCAGTTCACTGCATATAATCCTTCAGAGATGATGAAACTGAGGCATGCAGAGATTAAATAACCCTACTTACCTCCTTAATCTTATTTCAGCTCATTGCAACCTTTAAATCTCACCTATAGGCTAATGAATGCCAAATGTATGTCTCCACCCTGGGTTTCTCCCCGAACTCCAGGCTCACATATGCACCTGCTTTCCTGCTCTTACCCAATAGTCCCTCATATTCTACATGTCCAAGCCCAGGCTCCTCATGCTTCCCTCCCCAGCCCTTACCCCTAGACCTGCTGCACTCACAGCTGTCCCCTCCCTGGGAATTGGGACTCTTCGGGACTCTTCCAGCCACTCAGGCCAACCTGGAATCACCCTTACCTCTCTCCCTTGCACCCCACAGGTTATGGGTTGGCAAATCCTCCCAGCTTCCCCCATTTCTCATGCACTACCCCACCCTAGCCCGGCCACCATTGCCTCTCTCCAGCTCGCCCTGGCAGTCTCTTGCTGAGCTTCCCTCTTCTCTCTCTGCCCCCTGAAGTCTACTCCCAGCACAACAGCCCAGGTGATCTGTTGATTGTCATTCCTTCCTCATTGCCCTCTTCTTGCAGCCCCGTCTTACCCAGAGCAGAATCCAGGTCCTGATCCCCAAGTCAGCCCGCCGTCACTCTGCCTCCTTGCTCAATCAAGCTGACACACTCTTGCCTCAGGGCCTTTGTACGGAGGCTCCCCCTCCTCGGGACACTCTCACCTAGAGATCCTCTAGGTCTTTATTCAAGTGTCAGCTCCTTCCAGGCACTACCCAGTGCCTGTGTAAACATGCACTTCCTGTGTCTTCCCGGCTTTGTCCTTCTCCCAGCACAGAGTACTCCCCAACACGTTATGTGTTATTAGCTCATTTATCTCCCTCTACTCTAATATCAATTCCACAAGGGCAGACATCTTTGTCCTTTTGCTCACTGCTGTATCCCTAGTTCCCAGAACAATGCCTGGGACAGAGTAGATGCTCAATGGCTGTTGTTGAATAAATAATGAATGAATTACCCAGGGTAACCATTGGTAAGTGATGGAGACAGGATTAAACCCAGGCAGTCTCACTTGATGGAAAGTCTATGTTCTTAACCACCCTTAACTGCCTTTATTGCAATAAAGCGCCAATCTTTCATGGGCAGAGGATCACCCAAAACAATCACTACATTTGCCAGCCTCCCTTGCTGCTAGATGTGCCCGTGTGACTATGTTCTGGCCAATGAAGTATAAGCAGAAGAGGCACAGACAACTTCTGGGACCGTCTATAAAGAGAAGGTGTGGTCCTCTGGGATAATTAGGTGACCTTGGGAATGAAGGATAAAGCGACAAGATAGGAGGACCTGGGATCCCTGACACTGAGAGCTTTAGAACCACTGTGGGTAACTGGCCAGGCACGGTGGCTCACGCCTGTAATCCCAGCACTTCGGGAGGCCGAGGTGGGCGGATCACGAGGTCAGGAGATCGAGACCATCCTGGCTAACATGGTGAAACCCTATCTCTTCTAAAAATACAAAAAATTAGCCGGGCGTGGTGGCGGGGGTCTGTAGTACCAGCTACTGGGGAGGCTGAGGCAGGAGAATAGCGTGAACCCGGGAGGCGGAGCTTGCAGTGAGCAAGATCACACCACAGCACTCCAGCCTGGGTGACAGAGCGAGACTCCATCTCAAAAAAAAACAAAAAAACAAAAACAAAAACAAAAAGAACCACTATGGGTAACTATCTCTTGACTTCTACATATTAGATAAATAAATATATAGCTTTCAGCAATCTTGAAAGCTATCTTGCTTAAGCCCTGCTACCTGTGGTATCCTGTCATTGGCCACCAAATTTAATTCTAATTCATTACTGAGTCTCAGTTTCCTCATCTGTAAAATGGGAGTAATAACAGTACCTCTGCAGAGTTGCTGTGGAGATTAAATAAGAAAATACATAGACATCACACAGAATATAGAAGATATTCCGTATAGAAGGTTAGATACAAATAAGAATAAGCATATTAGTTATATCTAATAAGCATCTTCTATACTAAGATATCTTAGTATATATAGTTATTGTCAATACTTGGTAACTATACAACGCTGTAACTTAGTGTAGTCATATCTTTTATGCTAAGAGACTCAATTCTACATCACTTGATGATTGCTAAACACTAAAAGTACAAACCGAAGAGGCTTTATAAACCCACCTTGAAGGAAAGGAACTAGAGAGCTATATTGGTTTATACCAGTTTCTATACTCATTTCTACTAGAGAAACTAAGGCCCAAGTTTGCTGATGTCACAGGGTCCTTTGGTGGCAGAGCCAAGACTTGTCTCTGTTCCCCATGGCAGGATATGGGTATGGAAGATGTAAGTTCCCCTCACTCCTCCAGCAGTGCCCATTCCCTGGCTAAATGCTTGTCAGTGCCAGGACTGGAGCCTCTCTCCCTGCACAGGCTCTGCTATCACCTCCATGGGAAATGGCTCAGAGCAGGTGAAGGGGGTGGAGGGACCAGCCCCAGGGCCTGGAGATGGTGGACAGCCACAGTGACACACTGCACTGCTGCTGGGAACTCTGCAGCCTCTCTCAGAGACCCTGCGGTGTCCCCAGGCATCCTGCTGGCCCAGCTGTTCTATGCAGAGACTGCAGCAAATGACATGGCTTTGGCCCCAAGCCATCTGGAAACAATAATTTGCTAGAGTAAATGTAGTCCTGGACAGTTCCCCTCCTTTGGGGGTGGCAAGGGCAGAGAAGCTGGGGAGGAGTTGGGGGCTGAGAGCTCTGGGAGGCTGACCAGCCCAGGCGGCCTCTGCAGTCTCAGACCACTTGGGAGGGGCTGGAGCCTTCTTCTTGCTGTCTCCCAGCAATGCTAGGAGGGGCCCAGAGAGCTGGTGGAGTTGGGACTCAGCCTTCAGGCCCCCCAAAGACTCTGACCATCATCACTCGAAGTCTCTGTCATTCCTACTCCTTGCAGTTTCCCAGGACTTTTACAGAAATCAACCTGTCTGGTGGAGGGAGGGAGAGCTCCTTTCACGGTGACTTTCATGAGAACTGAGGTTTCTTCCTTTGCCTCTCCCCAGCCACCTGCACCTGCAATGGCGTCAGGCCCTGGGAAGGTAGGAGGAGATCTGCCACAGGTGCTCCGGTACCTGCCTGGGGATAATTCCTAACTGGTGGAGGCTGTGCTGACGGGAGCAGGAAGACATTCCTGGGATGGTGGCCTCTCACCAGTGGAAACTCTCCAGAGGTACGGAGAGAGGAGATTGATCAGTTGGAGACCAGAGTGTCTCTCAGAGCAGGACCTGGAGCCCAGTAGGTAAGCTCCAGGGAGGTGTGGCTGTCCCTGCTGGCTGCTGCCGCTGCCTCTGCCTCTGCCTCCTCTTCTTCCTCTTCTTCCTCTTCTTCTTCTTCTCCTTCTCCTTCTTCTTCCCCTTCCTC